GTAAAGTGCTGGCTTTTGCAAATCAAGCTTTTTTGGAATGTAAAATATCAACATTATTGAATGCGTTTTTTGATTCGCAGGTTTAGTAAGTTCTGACAATTTTTCAGGCTTTATACTGTCATTAGCAAGCACTTTGTCATATAAAAAGCACTGTGGCTTTTGTGTTCCACTTTGTGAAATAAAAAACCTTGTTACTTAACGAGAGTTATTAATGAACCTCAGGTCATTAACAAGTTGTAATGACAAACGAATCGTTATATATATATATATATATATATATATATATATTGAATATAAAAATGTCAATTTATACTATATATTAACATTTTTAACAAACTGTAGCAAAGAATAAAGTTATTTTTTACAAATACACATTTCAATTAATGAAAAAGAAAATATCGTCTTTAAAGTCGGACTGATCGTATCTTTTTCCACTTAAAAAAAAAAAAAATCCACCCCGTAATATTTTTTTAAATCTGTGACTGCAACATGAAGAACGCATTCTGGCGACCCCTGAAAGGTTCACAAGTTAAGACCACAGGTTAAGAAAAACTGTGATAAAAGTAATATTTTTACTTTTTCGAAATTATTCTGCTGGTAGATTTTTGTGCCGTCAAAATAAAAACTTTACATGTTTCTTGGTTATATTGATCATAAAACTCCTGAGTAAAGAAGAGCTAGGATAGGCCTCACAACACTTGAAGAGAGAAGACAAAGAGGTGATTTAATCCAGATTTTTAAATACATGCACAAAATTGACATCGTTATCAAAGTACATTATGCGAGGTCATAATCATTGACTGGCACAGCAAAGAGTACTGCACTGCATGCAGAGAGAGAAATTCTTTACAAACCGCGTTGTGTCCCAGTAGAACACCCTGCCGCAAACAGTAGTTGACGCAACCTCGGTTAACATGTTTAAAAGTTGTCAGGGTGAATATTTAAATCGGTAAAAAGGAAGCATAAAAGCATGTCTTTTAGCATATTTTTACGGTATGCTACTTGTGTGACAGATGTGCATGAATACCGAAGACTGTCAGTACAGAGATATCTGATGCAGCACATCTTTGTTGATAATTTAATAACATTGTTTTTCAATTTAAGTAGCAAGCATTGTTTTTTTTTATATTTCAAAACTTGAAAAGTTTTTAAGGATAGTTCGCGAGGTTAGAATTATTTTGTTCTATCTCCACAAATCAAAAAAATTGAGTTAGATTAATTTTTCTGCTTTTCATAGATAAAATATTTATTTTTTACAAAAAAATCAGTAAAAAAAAAAAATTAACATACTATACCTGACACTGCATTTTGTTTTATCTCCTTAATCCTGTTTATAAATTAAAATTATGATGTGTTATCTCCATTTTATTGATGTGTTACCTCCATTTTATCCAATCAAAAGTACGTCAAAATGGCAGCTGCGGAAGTTTTTGGTAAGCGAAAGACACTATGACTCAAATTGAGGTTTTGATTTTTTCAGCTCGTCGTCTGCCCCCACATGGGGGAAAAACTAGGATACGAAAGTCAGCACCTAAAACTTGGGCACAGGATGTGAGAAAGCAGCTAAGACAATCTGGTCAGCCGTATATAAATATAGAAAGGGAGAAAATGTTCCATGCAAGTCTGTAACCAAAAAGAAAGACTGTCTAAATTCTTGTAAATTCAGTTGCGCACAAAATATTAGTGATGAAGAAAGAACACGCATATTTGCTGATTTTTGGTCTATGGACAACATGCAAAAGAGACATTTCTACAGTCGAACCACTGAACGACTTCAGAAGAAACGTCATCGAACCATTCAATGAAAATTCGCGAAAAGCGTATTCATTTTATTATAGCTTTTTTGTTGGTGATTTGCAAACTCGAGTTTGTAAAGAATTTTACCTCACAACTTTAAATATAAGTAGTAGAAGAGTTTATTATCATCATGAAAAAAAAAATTATACTACTGGAAGCCCAGCCCTTTTAAAATGGGGGACACAAACCAAAAAGGTTATAGATCAATCATCAAAACAAAGCGTTACAGATCATATCAATGCATTTCCACGTGTTCCATCACACTACTGTCATCAAAGAACAGAAAAAGAATATTTTGAAGCTTTTTTAAATTCTAATAAGATGTATGAACTTTAATTAACCTATTGTGAAGAAAAGAATATTGCCCCTGTTAAGAAGCATTTGTATAGATTCATATTTGATTATCACTTTAACATTGAATTTCAGAATCCAAAAACTGATTTATGTGATACATGCTATGAATACCGCAATCTAGTAAATCCAACTGAGGAACAAACCCAAAAGTTTACCGAACACATTATTTCTAAGAATGAAACTAAAGCAGAACGAGATAAAGACCGCAAAATTATAGATAAAAATGTGGCTGTAGTATGTATTGACCTTGAAAATGTAATAAGTTTACCAAAATCAAATGTGGGAGCATTTTTTTACAAACGAAAACTTTCAGCTTATAATTTAACTGGGCATTGCTCCATAAATAAAAAAGGTTATTGTATGCTTTGGCTTGAAGGTGTTTCGGATCGTGCAGGCAATGACCTTGCAAGTAGTGTAACATGCTTGCTAGAAAAGATAATTTCAGACCACTCTGATGTTAATAAACTCATACTATGGTTCGATTCCTGTGTGCCTCAAAACAGAAATAGTCACATGTCCATTGCTTTGCGTCAGTTTTTGATATGTTACCCAAAAATTAGAGTAATTAAGCAAAAGTTTTGTGAACCAGGACATTCTATTATACAAGAGGTTGTGAAAGTTTTGTGAACCAGGACATTCTAGTATACAAGAGGTTGACAATATCCACAGTCAAATTAACAGAGCACTTGCTCTTCTTGAAATATTTAGTCCTTTAGGTTTAACCAGAGCAATTTCTGCTGTTCAAAGAAGAAATTCTTTTTTTGTCTACCAAATGAAAAGATTGGATTTCAAACATTTTTCAGCTATTGCAAGCTATTTCAATTTTAAGCTTGTTCCCTATTCTTGCGGCGAAAAAACCACGTGATCATTGCGTAATTAAAAAATAAAAATATCTACCATTATGATATGGGGGCAAACAAACGCGTTGATTTCAGTACAACGTTACTTAAACGCTTTGAAAATGTCTTATGATTATCAAGAAAAGTTATCTAAAAAGGCTGCTGAACGTTACCAAAATAAGTTAGATTTAATAGGTGAGTTTTTTATACAACTAATAAAATTTAATACAAGAAATTTTAGTTTAGTTTACATATTAAACTCGCTAATACTATTAGTGTGTTTACTTAATTAAGTAAACACACTAGTTTTAGTGTGTTAACTTAATATAATTATTAGTCTAATTGTATTAGCGTGTTTAATATGTAATCTAATATAAAATTTCGTCTAATAAAGTTTATTAGTTAATCTTTTGTTTAATTACACTATACTATTTACTTCATCACACATACAATTATTAGTATATTACTAATATACTAATAATTGTATGAGTACAATTGTATGAGTAATAAATGTATGAATACAATTATTAGTATATTACTAATATACTAATAATTGTATGAGTGTGATTAACTAATATTATTAGTAATAATTAACAAATATTATTGGTAATATATTAATAATAGTATTTAACTAGTTAAATACTATTAACTAATAACTAACTTAATGTAGTTAACTAATAACTGCATTAAGTTAACTTAAGTTTAAGTTAACTTAAGTTAACTAATAACTACATTAAGTTAACTAAATGTAGTTATTAATGTTAACTTAATGTAGTTATTAGCCTAAGAGTATTACTGTATTTAATATTTAACCTAATATGGACATTTGTCAATAAAGTTTATTAGTTAATCTTGTGTTTAATTATACTAAACTATTTATTTAATCACACTCATACTATTATTAGTATATTGGTAATATGTTAGTAATAGTATTAAATACTATTATTAATATTATTATTAGCGATTAAATAAACAGTATTGTGTAATTAAACACAAAAATAGTA